AGTATTAACCGTTAAAAATCTATATTACCATACAAACGTTCACCCTCCTAAAAAAAAAATGTAAAAAAATGCAAAAACCCTGCAACACGTTATTTATTTATTTATGATGAATAGCTACAATTTCAATTTTCAAGTTCCTTCCGTTAAAAACTCTATACTGCCATACAAACGTTCACTCCCTATTTCCTCCTTTAAAATGTAAAAATGCAAAAACTCTGTATTGCGTCATTATTTATTTATTAGTATTAGAATTATTTAAAAGACATTTAGATTCTGTAGCGAAATACGTGTACTGTAAATAGTTGTTGAGTTTGTTTATTCAACATAAATATTGTAACGTTTGTTAATTTAGAACAATTTATTTTATTTATTTATTTATACTTAATAGTAATGTATATAGAAATTATTCCTTAACTTCTAATTTATGTAGACATAAACTATATTCATGAGTAAGCGCTAGTAAGGTTCCATTGTAAATTCTGGTGAGACCGCGAAAATTCTAGAAGCACCTCCGCCAGAATATACATTTACCAAATTTGTTATCGTTCTCATACATTCTATTAATGTTTCACTTCCACTAGCCATAGGCGTAGCATCGGGGGCTGACTCACTTATTTAAATATTCTTTGGTAATAGGGCCTTAAAAACCGAAACAAGGCAAAGAGGGACTTAAAGGATTAGAACAAGACTCGATTGGTAGGAAATGGCTCGCATTACAGTATTATTTTTGATCATATCTTTTTATTTACAAAGCGAAAATTTAAAAAAATTAAAATCTCTAAAAAATTGTGTTAGTGTTTAATCACGTGACTAATGTCAAAATTTTTCGAGTGTAATCACTTTCATGGTACCCGGAGGAAAAGAATTTCCGGAAATCGATGTGGTTGTCATGGCAATATGTCAAAATAAGATCCTTCGATTGGTCGAAAATTATTGGTGTGAAATTTTCAGTGTAATCTTTAACGTGAATTTGTTGTTAGTTACAGGGTAAGTCATAAATTACTGAAAATGGAATTTTAATGTTTACATTAAGAGTTATTGCTCCGATGACAATAGCAGGTAATTTTTATTAAAAATAGGCATTCTGTTTTAATCCTAGAAGACACAGTTTTAAAGATAATACAATATATTTTCTTATGTGCAAAGAGAATAAGTAGCACTAGCCATGCGTTTTCATACTTTTTTGAAAAAATGGTCCGTTTTGTCTACAAAAAATTATAAAGTTTATTAATTTTGTTTAAAAAAGGACAACTTTTAATAGAGAATTAACATTATCAAACATGCATTATTTTTCGAACGATTAATGTCAACTTGTAGTAAATCTTTTTCTTAATAAGATCAAAAAATAATTTTTAAAATTGGACTTACTATAAAGCCGTAATCATTAAAATAGCAAAGTAATTTCGGATATAAAAATGATTGAAAAATATGATTACGATATCCCCTCTCAAGACGTTCCGTATTCGTACCAAAGGATGGGTGCTGCTGCCTTCCTCATCTACCTATAGTATTGAAATCTGGCCAGATACGGAATAAGGGTACATATAGGATCGAACTTAAATTTAGTGTTGCTCGGTTAGTGCGAAGAGGGAAATTTTATTACACGAGATAATTTTGTTTTCAATATATTTAAAACATAGTTTGATTAGAAAAAAATAGGTAGAAGAATTATATTTTCTAAAATAATTCATTTTGCAAAGAATATCAACTAAGCTACTAATATAATAAAATATATAAATCAGCCTTATAAATAATGAATTTAACAAATGTTTCATATTATATTAATAATTTACATGTTTTCTGACTTATCTGTGAATGAAACGTGGAGAAAATAGTTTTACTTACAAGTTTTTCCTGATTTTGTTGCTGTCTGCTATTGTAGTGATCTGATAATTTGTAGACTGTATAATTGTTTACAGAAAGAGATTTCCTTGGATGCCCTCTTTTCAGCATAGAATAAATAAAGCAAGAAGATGACTTAATATTTTATTTTGTACAAATATATAAAATATATTAATTTAACGTATTTTGCAATTTTTACAATACTTACGAATGCCTCTTATTCGTAATTTATGCTATTGGTTTAAGAGAATGAAATCCAGAATTATTTCGGTCTATATATATTGACTGAAACTCAAAAAGATATTCTTAAAGAAATAATATTTTAAAAACTGAGGGAACAGAGTGTTTTGTTACTATCTGGCTTTGATTGGTCCGAATTTCATGATGGCTGCCGTTGAATGATGTTATTATATTTTGTTGTTGCTAACTTTAAGATATAAATACATATTTTCTCTTTTTAATGTCAACGATTTTAAAAAGAGTTTTTGTTTTTAAAATAAGTGAATATTATAGGAGGACAAACAAACGCCAAAATTAGCGTAATATATTATGAACAGGGGCGGTTTATCCATTGGTTCTTTTGTGCAGTGAAACACCCAGTTAAATTTCATAAAAACACATTATTTTAATATTACATAAATAACAAAAATATAAATTTAATTGTAATATTTTTATTTTCATACGTGTTAATCTATATTTTTTTGTACATGATTGTGAAGTTTTTTTACTTCATAAATATCTTGATCTAAATCCTTTTGTCCATAATCTAAATCAGTTTTATTGGTTTTTGCCGAGGTTTTTGCAGAATAACTTTTTTTTTTGAATATGCGATTAGATTTTGATTTTATTGCTAATTGTTACTTTTTTTTTCAATTCAGTTACTAACATGGATTAGTTAGTATGGTTTAAAGTTTTTTTTCAATTTTGAATTCCCTGATTTCGAATTATATGATACAACTGCTGCAAAACATCTACTTTGGTAAGAGCGCCCTCTGGAATAATTGATTCTTTTGCCACCTACAAACTTAGCGACTGTCCCATGAAATTGTTCCACAATATTACTATCAACATCATGTAATAGACTTCTGCTGTGATCTGACAAAGCATGTAAAATTTGTAGAAGTCTTGTAAAAAATTCAGGTTTAGATCTGAAATTGGTTATTTCGTTTTTGGTTTCATCTGTATGCTTCTGACAAAAATAAATATCGCAGTTTTTATGATCACCAAAAACGTGAAAACTTGCATTGTCTATGTCTTTCTTTAAAAGCAAAACGTTATTAATAGTGCTAAGACTATTTTCTTTTCTATAAGAAACTGCCTTCGTAACAGATGTTCTTAAACGAAGAATGTTTTGACTAACTAATTTTCTTAGTTTTATTAGAAAATTCACAAATAACGTTCTCTTTTAGACTCAAAATTTTATTAAATACGTTCAAATCTTCAATTCACTGGTATAACTAAATAAATCGCCGATCCATTTCCTATGATAGGGGAAATGTGGCTCCACGACCCATTCTTGGAATTTTGAAGGTAGGGGTATAATAGGAGTAATATGCCGACAAATTAGTTCTCATGAACGGAGCAATAACTCTTAATATGGAAATATTCTCCAAATTAACATCACAATCCAAAAGTGCATTTTACCTGTCTGGAGCTAAGTATATTTTAAAATTTTGTAGGTTTTAATTTGTGGAATTTTTTAAAATTGTTTTTAATACCTTTATTTTGGATCTACTTATAAAGTGTAAAAGTTATATCAACTTGCTATAACCAATTTTTGAGATATGAGGTATAAAATTAAGTAATGACAGATATGTAAAATTAATTAAACTCTTTTCAATGCCACCCCAGAAGAAATTTTTGTGATTTTTTTTATAGTCCCCTCTGAGGAATATTCAGTATAACATCTACAACACTTTAAAATTATACAGGGTATCTCAGAACTCGACCACCAAATGTACACGCCATATATTAGACTTTATGTCGATTTAACCTAAATTACTTCAATCCGAAAATGCTTCACAACTCATGAATAATAAAGGAACTAGAGCTCTTTGAAGTTGGTGCCTTCAAGTATTTTTTTCAAAATATCTCAAAAATGGCATTACCTCAAAAGTTTAAACTTACGTTGACCAATCGACAGCTGTAAATTTGAATTTTTCATTGTAATCACAAGAGGCTACTTACCTGGAAGAATTCATTTTGATTTGTTTTAAATCATTCAACAATAGCTTATATTTAGCCTAGGATATTGTAATTCAATATGAATAAGTATGTAAAAAGAAGAAAATTTTGATAAACAATTGTTACATCTTACTAAAAACGTATTCATGTAGTCAGGCTCCTCCACAATGTTTTTTGATAATTCCAAGGAATTTGAAATCTCATTAGTAGAGAATTTTAAGCTGATAGTGTTTCTATTTACGTTTTCTAATTACCTAAATATCATAAATTGTTATTAAGTTCAGTTCAAAAAATTGTTTTTATCTGAAAGTGTAAAATACCTATGTACAAAACAAATCTCTAGGTAAACATTAAGGAAATTATTCTTCGGACCAGGATGCTTCTTATAACCAATTAACCTTCAAATTAAAGCAATCCTTTCACTACTAATACAAAAAAACAAATCTTTTACAGGCATTGTAAAATGTTTTTCCTACAACCTATGAAATTCTAAAAAAAATGTTCCAAAACATGGTAAAAAGGATAACATTTAAAAAAAAATGGTTTATGTTCATAGCCCAGTTTATTGTAAAAATAACTAAAAAACGTAGGCATGAGAATCTAATTACACTGATATTCAACAAACTTTCAGGTTTAAAATATAATAGGTAAACTAAGTCCTATTAAAGTATATTTTTATTTCTAGGAGTAAAAAAGTGTTGTTGTTAATATTCCTTTACAAGTCATATTTAGAAAAGTTGATTATGGGTTTGGGAAGTGCCCACACATTTGGGTGACCTAAAGTATTACAAAATAATAGTGAATTGGTTTGCATATATTTTGATTCAATAAAGGCGGATCTAAGTACATAAATGAGATCCGTGCAAAAGTAAAAGCATTGTCCCCAATTGTTCAGGTCAAATCCGTTTATTAAAGTTTTGAATATTTCTCGTCCTAGTGTCCTAGTTTCAGCAAGTGATCTTTTTATATCCTACCTGCAGCCTAGTTACGAAATCCGGACTTAAACTCCTCTCTGAATTGTCTGGTGCGTTAATTAATACTTCGAAAACAGTCTGATCACTAGATTTGTCCTGCGAAAAACACTTTTCACTTAATATAGCAGAAAACAAGACCGAAATTCTGTCCAAATTTTCTCTCAACAATTGTATACATGATTGTTTTATTCGCACTGTACCGACAATTGTTTTTGACATCTTTTTTTATTATCATGCTTACATGTTGAGTTGTTTTTTGTATTTCTCTTTGTTTGGATGATAATGGGACATTTCCCAAAGGATAGGAGAATTTTATTTCTTTTGACGTTTTTGTGACAGCGACATTTTAGGAAATTGTGATTAACGATGGTAGCGCTATTTATTGTTTTTAGAACTCAAAAATATTGAGATATACAGAGTTCTGCAAACAGTGCAAACCGACTTTATATGAAATGAATTAAATCTTCAAACATTGCAAGTACAAATATTTAATCAAACACAAGTCATAGAACATGATTACTACTGTTAGATTAAGTTTAAATAAAAAGTAAATTTTATTTTTGAAACAAACCGTAGAGCCATCTAGTAGTTTACTTAAAAAATAAAAAATGGCCTTTTTCATGTAAAGCAAACGAGCTATTTTTATTCAAAATATTGGTAAAAATAATTTGGAGATTATTTCCATTTAGTTAACCCCGTAAGTGATCTGTGTTAGCCCCTTAGAGAAGCTGTAGGCTCACTAACTAGCATATGGTACTTTCGACTGTTATTCAATATATTTATTCAACTAATAATTTATATTGTGTTGTTTTAGCTGATGCGCGACGGGTGAACCACTGCCGAAATACTGTTACATTTTCACCAGAAATCGCTTACAAATCTCTCAAAATCACTACTTCTAGTGCTCCTGAAATCAACATAATGGGAACCGTCAGCGTAACCCGGAGTGTCCGGATTTGGTAAGACTTTCGCCATAATAGTACAAAAATAATAGATATATGCATTTGTTTCGGCGAAATCCTATAAAAATAAGGAAAATTTCGACGAAATCACATGGAACCATGTATGATTTCACCGAAATCATACGAATTTTTAGAGATTTCCGAATTATGAGTACTTTTTGATCTTAGTGGTTTGCCCTTCAGTTTTAGTTGTTTTATCAGCTATCTGAGCCTAACTAAATTTATAAATAAGTTGTTATTGCAGACAATGGTAACAATCATAAAATACTTCTTGGTCTTGTAGATCTATAGGGCTCTAAGGGTTAAGTAATAGAAACATATGTTTTACACTTTTATTTTAAAATAAAATTACAATACTTATATAATTATATTTGTATTTTTTTTCCCATTAATATGCTTTTATTTATAGGTTCAATAATTGCTCCCATTTTGGTAATGACTGCAGGTTCAATAAACCTCCTAAATGCTGTTTCTGGAACAAACGAACTTCCAACAGGAGCCCTAATACTAGCCTCATAATCTTTAACCGATTTAAATGGAAATGGAATTTCAGAAACTAAGAGTGGTTTAATTTTTGCTTGTGCTTTCTCATTAATAATTAAAGATCCTTTATTTTCATCTCTTCTTGGCATTTTTGGTGGCATTTTAATAATAAATCTTTTACGTTTTCTTTTACTAGAGTCTATACCAGTACCTCCCCAACTTCCCCATCCTGGAAGATTCAAGTCTATATCTTTTGGAGTATCTTTTTCTATTTCTTCAGCTTTTTCTTTATCAAAATCTGTAGCAATGTCATCATCTTCAAATGCTTCCATTATTAAGTTCCTCTGGTTAACCTCTTCTTCATTTTCATCAATTGTTAATATATCTGGTATAGCAGTATTTAAGTCAGTTTGTTTGACTTTGATAAATTTATCAGGATTTATATTAACAGGTTCATCACATTTTTCTTTGTTGGCTAGAATATTTTTCAAAGTTACCAAATCAGGATTATTATCTCCATTAAAATCGTCAGTTGTATTTTTAGTTTGTTCTGACATTTCCTCATCTATTACTTGTTTTTTATTTCTTGAAGGTAGTGAAAGGTCACATTTCTTTTTTTCAGAAGTTTTTTTAGTTGTTGATTTTTTTACCTTTTTAGTTTTTGAATTAGTTTTAATTTTCATCAATTTTTGTTTTAACTTTTTATTTAATTTATTTTCTAGTGTTTCAAACACATCTTCTACGTCTATAGAACTTCTTAATTCATTTTGTAATGAACTAATTTCCCAATCTGATGTACTTTGCGAAGTATCAGCATCCTTACTTTTATTCTTTTTAATTTTTTTCTGCATTGTTTTTTCAAGTTTTTTAACTTCTTTGTTATCAGATTTTATTTTATATTTTTTAATTTTACCATCTGTAACTCCAATATTTGCAGTTTTGCTTTCATTATTATTCGCATTTTCTGAATTGTTATTATTTTCATTGGACACATTATTTACTTCATTCCAATATTTTCTATAACCACTAACAAAATCTGTGACATCTTTGTCAGGTTTAATACCATTAACCCAAGGATTATTTTTATCAGCTTGCTTAGAAGTAGGAGAAGATGTGTTACTTGATTCAATGCCTTCATCTTCTGATTCACTGTCTGTTGGTTTAACTTTTTGTGTAAGTTCTCTACTGATGGAAAGCTGTTGTGCTAAGACTTTACGACTCTAAAATAAAAAGAAATAATAAGTGTGTTAATTTCAAGAATATATTGTTTTCTTTCTTTAACAGTTGTAGTTTTTTGGAAGGCAATGATTGCAAATGTTGAAGTGGCCAAATTTTTAATGTTATTTGTTATTATAGGTTAACTATCGTCCGTCCGATGTCACGTTTTTTGTGCATAGGATAAGTCAAAAACAAAAAATGATATCGACTAGAAAATTTCGGAAAAAATCTAAATGAAAATGAGGGTCGAAGGGGGTTGAAATATTTAAAAAAATCCTAACATTAAAAAAGAAAAATGATATTAAATTGAAGTTTTTAGCAAAAATCAAGCTCTATAAGAAGATGAAGCTTATTGAATCTGAATAAATTAGGAGGTTACGAGGGGGTTAAAATATAAGAAAAAAATCTCAACTTAAAAATGAAAAATGATATCAACTTGACATTTTTAGCAAAAATCAAGCTCTATAAGGGAAAGAACTTGGATTTTGAAAAAATTTGATTAAAAATGGGAGATTTAAAGGGGATTTAAATAAAAAAAAAATAGAAATATCTCGAGAAATACAAAACCGAAAGCAATATCAACAGGAAACATTTAGTAAAAATCAATATCTATAAGGCAATGGATAAATAAATAAAAATTGGGAAATAAGGGGGGTTGAAATCTTGAAAAAAATTCTAACTGAGAAACAAAAAAAATTATATAAAATTGAAATCTTCAGGAAAAATCAAGCTGAAAAAATCTGAAAATAGAGGTTAAGGAGGTTTGTTAAACTGTTAAGGGTATAATATTAAATGCCAAGCATTACTTATATATCTTCATTCTATTTTATTACACCTTTCAAAAACTATTAATTCATTATATTGATGTACCTATAGGTATTTAGAAATAGAATCTGAAATAGTTTAAAACTAATAAAAGCAAAAGATGCACTTTGTTTTGCAAATACTAAGTTGTAATTTAATCAAAGAATTTCATGTGTAAATTTTTCAAGAATTTTTTTCGAAATTTTAGTCTAATAAGGTTCTAATATTGATAGGTAGAAATATGTGCATGCCGAGGGGCGAATCACTCCCGCAATACATGTACAAAATCCCATTAAAAATCGCCGCAGACCCATCAAAATCAGCGGCAATCGCTAAGAAATCGTCGCAGTCGTTCAGAATTCCCTCGCAGTCTCCATCAATTATTATTAATTTTAAAATTCCATATTTGACAAAGTTCATAAAATTTCTGATCTGATAGAAGATATTTCCAAGGTGGTCCAGAATTCTCTCCAGTTCACCTGAATTTTTTTTAATGCATAATAAAATTATTTGAATTTTATTATAGGGGGTCATACACTTTTTAATTAGGGTTTTAAATGTATTTTATTTAAAAAGAAATTAATTTATTGACAGTATACATTTTTTACTTTCCTGTCTGTATACAGATATGGAAAGCATAGGAATCATTATTTTTTTTGACGGATTTTTACGTTTTGGGGTTCCCTAAATCCGTTTTGACTATTTTCGCGATGTGTATGTGTGTGTCTGTATACTCAATATCTCATGAACGGATAAAGAGAAAACACGAAATATTAAACTTAAGCTTTGATTAATCCTCTAATAATGAGTAAATTACATTTAGGCGCAGTAGGAAAATCTGGAGGGGGGGTACTTTATAGGGGTCGTTTTTCTACTACAAATATATGTTATTTACGCTTGGAGAAGAAAATTCTTTAAATTAAAGTTGTTTTTGTTGTTCTATAATTTTTATCCTATAGGTAAATAATTTTCCTAACATTGTTCTTATTCAAATGTTTTTACAAAAAGTGCATATTTAGAATTTTTAAGAAAATTTTTCAAATAAAAGTTGCTTGTGATGTCTTTCTCTATAATTTTTTGTCCTATACATGATTTGTACCGTATTCAAGATATTTGAGGAAAAGTGCAAATTTCTAATATGGTGAAAACTCAAAAACGGTTAAAGAGGAAAAAATAAAATTTTAAACTAAAGCTTTCATCCTGTTCGAGAATGGATTTATTTTCTTTATTAATTTCTTAATTTAAATTCGCGTTATCTATTTTGACACTTTGCCCCACCTAAACGGTTCATGCTTTGGACCTTTTCAAAGAACCAAGAGATCTCGATGTACCGCCAACGCAGTAATAAGTTCGTTCGCCACCGCTTAATTTTTGTGCCTTCGCTTTATGTGTGCCGCTCGCCTACGTGTCCAATATTCCAAAAGGTAAGGTGTCAAATACGTTTATTAATTTATTTAGTTTGATTATTTGAATCAGCCCTTTTTAGCAGCATAACATCCGTTCTGTTTCACATCCATTCTTTAATGAGCTGATTAGTTTTTGGGCATAGGCAGAGCACTTTGTAAAGGGTCGTTTTTCTGCTTAATAGAATTATTTAATATAGATCGGGTCGATGGTGCAGCGGTCTAACGCGCTTATATTCATTTATAGGCAAGTTTATGAGTCCGAGACTGCTGGGCTTCGAATCCCAGAACGAACCATGTGGATTTTTAATTAAATTGCATGGTTCGGTTTAGGATTTGATGTGTGCCGTATTAATAGAAAATTCAATTTCTATTGATATGACATGCAGATTATAAAATCGCCATACATTATCGTCTCGATGATGGTGGGTGAGGTTTTCCGGGTTTTCCTCACCTGTAAGTCAAATGGCACCATCAATCATCCTTAAGTCGCCCCGGAGCGCCACGGCAAATAATAATAATAATAGCCGTCCCTTCCCCTACACAAGTCGTTCAGTCGACTTCAGGGGTTGAAATTCACTCGTAAGGGGGTGAATTAGGGAGAGTATTATTATTATATTATTATTAGATCTAAGTAGCTGTTACCCAATGAGTTTCTTAGTGAGGTCCAACGTAGAGGACTGTACTAAATTAAGTTCATTAGATATTAAGGTTTGCTTTGTTTTTTTTCTTGTTGTTACTTAACTCTACATTACTATTAATTTTTTATATAAAACTTGCTTGCGATATTTTTCTATATAATTTTTATCCTATACATAATTTTCCAAAAATGGTCCATATTCGAGAAATTTTACAAAGAGTACAAAATTCGAATTTTTAAGAAAATTGTTTAAATAAAAGTTGCTGGTGATTTTCTATAATTTTTGTCCCATACATGATTTTCCTAAATGGGCCGTATTCGATATATTTGAGGAAATTGCAAATTTTGAATTTGGAAATTACTCAAAAAAAGAGAAAAACACAAAATTTTAAACTTAGGCCTTAATAAATCCTGCAGTGAGCTGATTAAATTTTGGGCATAGTCGCAGCTCTGGTTTTTTTTTAATACTATCTCTGTTATTTATGATTGGTGAAAAAAATTTTTCAAATAAAAGTTGTTTGCGATATCATTCTCTAAAATTTTTGTTTTATACATTATATAACCTTAAAATGGACCGTAATAGAAAAATTTGACAAAACATGTAAAAAATATTTGAAGTAAGATGTGTGTGGAAAATCTTTAAACATTTACAGGGGTAATACAGTAGGTTGTACAAATTAACTGGAAAAAGCTTGTAATAACTAGACAAAAAGTCATGTGTTGGACACATCAGATTTTTATGTAAAAAAGAGGAAACACTTATTTTTGCAAAAATAGTACACAGAAACTATAGGGATAAAACAACCTGATTCATCCCTTTAACTTTAGAATAATAGTTGACAGGTCCAGTGTTACTATGAGTTTATTTAATTTAGGTAGATATGTTTAAATAAAGAGTTTATAAAGAGTGATTCACAATAGTAGTTTGTGCAACAAAAGTGGATATGATGGCCATATTTAGTACATATAATCTACTGTATATTTTACAACCCACTAACGAAAATTTACAATATTTAAAAAATTTATTTAGAGATAATTAATCCATACAGAAATCACTGCAATCAGTACGGAAATCGCCGCAGTCAATGCATAAATTAGCATAGTCACGAAAAATCTATTAAAGTCTTGTGGAAATCTCCGCAGTAACTAGAAATTTGTAGGAAGTCACATGGAAATCACTGCAGTCATCCAGAAATCGCCATATGATTGCGGAAATCATGTGAATTTGGCAATATATGTACATTTTTACAAAGAGTGATTCGCCCCTCGGTGCATGCTTAAAGTAATTTTTACACCAAGAAAATCTAATGTTCTTAGATTAGGAAACATTTTTGGTTTCAAATAGAGAGAAGGTAATTCTGCTGCACATGAAATTGGAGCATAATTTTTGTCATTCATTATTTTAATTGCTTTAAAAAAGTGAGATAAAATAGCTGTTTATTTCATGAGGCTGTATGAAATAAAGTTATACTTCAATTTCAGGTTGTCACTCTGGTGTAATGCCTCAAAATTATAAAAATCCAGGAACTTACTTCTTTATCATATTTAGCCCTAACTTGTTTGTTTCTAGCCCACTGTCCAGTACCTTTGTGTCTTAAGCTAAATCTTTCTTCAGCTCGGGCTTTTTCAATATCATCTAACTTTTTCAGAGCTTCTTCAGGATTGGTTTTTTGGAGTAATTCAAATTCTTTCAATTTTTCTTTTATTTTCTCTCGCCTTAAGATTCTGTGATACTTTTTGCTTTTAATTTTATTCTGTCGTCTTGCCTTTGCTTCTTTATAACTCTGATGAGCTCTGAGTTTTGCAGCTTCTTTTCTTTTTTCCTTCAATTCTTCTAAAGTTAGCGGAAATTCATTTTTCTCTTCTATATCTATGTGATATTCTTCACTTTTGGGTTCTAAAGCTTCTAATTTTTTCTGTAGATCTGATTTTAGTCTGAAAGTAGATGGATATACTTCAGCTTTCTTTTCTATAATTTTTAATTTTTCAACATGGTCTAAAGGGAATATAAGCTGTGGAGCAGCTCTATTAGATGTTACTAAAGCCTCCCAACGATCAAATTGTAGCCTAGATTTCTCGTAATTCAGTGTTCTCTTAATACGTTCAGCCTGAGGTTTTTCTAAAGGTTTTGGTAAAGTTTTGCTTCTACCACTAGCAGATTTCACTTTATTGGCTATTTCAACATGTTTTTTTCTACCTTTTAGTACCTTCGTTAATTCATTTAAGTGTACTAAGTTTTGATGTCCACTAAGAGATTTAACCAAATTGAACTCTGATATTTGAGTTGTGGGTTCTGTTCGATGTGGACTCTTTACGTGTTGAACTTTGTTTAGCTTTAATACATTTTCTACTATTTTATCATGCCCTTTGTCATCAAGTTCTTGGTCTGAAAACTCAAAATGATCACTATCATCACTCATTTTGTAATTAGCTTTTTAAAATTAAAAATTTTAAACCACGATCTGGTTTGCAAGAGTGAGGTTAATTTTGAAATTATTTTAGTTGTATATAAAGTAAAAGGCCACAAGTTAAGAAAACGTAGTCGTCTTTTTGATAATTGCCCGTTGTTAAGAAGATCATCGGCTACAAAAATTTTTTTTTTTTTATATAAAGAAATTTTGATAATATGAGAAGCAATGTTTTGCGTTGGCGACAATGTATGTCACTAATGTCAATGTTTGGTGATTAGTGATTTTTAATTTTGAATTTAAAGGAGTGGTGACAATGTATTAGTCAATTCGCTGTTGGGTGTACCGCTTCGCCATTTTATCAATATTTTAATAAATTTAAAAAACTTGTTTATAATTTAATGTGATTCCTATTAGTTTTTCATAAGTTCAAGAACTATATGTGAAAATATGAAGTTTCAGTGTTCTTTAAGGGTGAGTAAAATACAGTTGCAGTGACATTTAAAAGGTTTGTTGGCCTTTGCATTTGACATTTTAAACTGAAAAGGAAAATTAGCAAATTTGAGATAAACATTTATCATTTTGATGAGATAAACGAAAGCTGTGTGATATTATTCTGTTATAATAAAGGCTCTTTGAATAGTAAAGTTTGCCTGTTATTGACCACCTGAGTTACAGACACTCCTATAAAAAAAACATGACACCTTCCTATCTATTGATGAATACAAATTAGAAAGGGTTCTCAGAGTTGTTATTTAGATCTAAGATTAAACCGTGCAAATATTTATGAATAAAGTACGTAATGAGGGGTTTTATTTTATCAATGGAACAATATTTTTTTGAGGACATCTCTGATTATTTGTGGTAAGATCCTCCCCCTAATGAGTCACTTCCTTATTTGCCTTTATAAAAGCACTACAGAGGCTAAATTAATTCATGTTTATTGTGTAATTTATTGGCCATATGTTTGTATTCATTTTTGGTTCATTTAACATTTTTGAAGATCAAATAGGTACCTACTTTGAGCATAAAATTCTTATCTTCCATTATCTTATTTTTGAAAGTTTTATTACAAAAAAATTAGTGAAGTGAGTAACTTCACTGATGAAACTGATATTTATAAATGTAGGAAAGTCATGTTTTTTTTTATTTAAATAATATGAATAGGTACTTATCAGTAATTATTTTTATTCAGGTTTTGTTTACATGCATCGATATAGTACTATTTCAATAATAATTAAGTACCTACATATGTATTATAAAAACCGATATGATCCAGAACATATAGACCTATTTATTACCTATTTATCTTTGTTATTTATGTTTTTTGTAGATTTTTAAATAATATTAACCATTATCTAATTTTTATAAGTTAAACATTTAACTGTTCATTTATTAGCGTTTACCTATCTATTATGTAATGCATTTACTCAAGTGTTTAAAACATTCTGATGGATGATTGATTATATATTATGAGTGATATCAACTGTGTGTACCTAAATGTGTTAAATATAAAAGCTATTTATTATATATAACAACACAAATAAAATATAAATATAAGTAATATTTCAGGCTATGTTAGGTGTTAGGTGAAAAAGGGCAGTGGGGTGGCTTAGTGGTTAAAGAGTTGATTGAGTGTTTAAATCTGCGAGTCTGAGATTTAAATTAGTGCTGGAAAATAAAGCTTATAAAATCATGACATAACATAATAAAACAGTTGCTGCCAATGACACCAATATAAAGAAAAACAACAAAAAATAAATAAAATTCAAATACCTAAGTAATACTAAGACAAATAATTGTACTCCAGTTATTAAACATTTTTTTACCAAAAATGTTAGTACTGAAATTATGTAATACATATGGTTCTCTAAAATATTATGTAATCATCTTCCGTTTGCAAATTTGATAAACATATTAGCAGTGCTTCATGTATAGTGTCATTTTATTTATTTTATTACTTGAGTACACACATGGCTAAGTTTTGTGTAAATATGATTTATCTTGAAGTACACATAATATTAACCTTTATTTAAGTCAGTGTTATTTATTCCATTTACATGCTGTTTGTTTAAAATCTTTGCTCTACCAAATTTGTCTGCATGAATCAGGGTAGTGCCTAGATTTCTTAACTGCAGGGTCAACCTTCATGGACATGGGATGAACATTAAAATTTTTTGAAAAAAACTGATCGGTGTCTAAGTGGATCCCATGCTTAAAATTGCAAAAACAATCTATTTTTCTTTAAATTACAGGTAAATAAAAAAAGCAGTTTTATTAATGTTTTAGTATTAAGCATTTATTATCAAAAATCGTAATGAAAACACTACATTACCCTAATAACTAATACTAACTTGCTACATAGCATTTGAACATTTTTTTACAAACCATCTCCAATTTTTGAATGTTCTAGACACAAAATGGTATAACATTTTTTCTGGATTTCCTGTCTGTTCCTCTCGTAATTACACATATAGCAGCCGCCCCCTGGTAATATTTTGTTATATACTGGGGTATAAAGAGAATCTGGGATATAAAACTAAAGTTTAAGTTTATGCCAGCCACTAAACAATAATAAATATTATATTTTATCAGAATAACACATAAAATATTTAAATATTCGTGCGTGCAAAGATGCAGCAAAAACTTATATTATGGGGTACAAACGGACCCTGACCAGTCCTATGAAGGTTAATGGTCCGAAATCCTCAATAGGCTTTTGTCCTACTTTTTTCGAATAATTTTTTTTTTTTATAATATTCATGTGAATAGGTCTTCACTTTTTGGGGTTCTAATTGGTCCTAAAGTGAAGTTGAGACCACAAAGGTTCTGGCATGCCTAGAGAGGCAGTAGAGCATCTAGAGACAGTGTTGTTCTTGTGCAAAAAAATCTTAATAGACAGACGCTCTAAAACAATAGATTTCAGAAAAATATAATAGATTTCAGAAAAATATAATAGATTTCAGTAAAAAAGTAATAAATGTAATTTTAAGATAGGATTCCCTTAAAAGTCGGAACATACGCGCATTTTAATTTTAATTTTTTTTTGAACATCCATGGAGGTAGAAGGCATTTTTTTTTAAATGTACCTTCTAATTCCATGTGAACATCATAAAAAATCTGTCATTAGGTTTCTTCCAGACATAATCCAAACTGTTTAAGCATGCACAGTTTAAAGATAACAATAATATTTTTAAATTGTGCCTGCTTGAAATGTAGAAATTTACTGCACTTGAGGGAATTTTCCAGAATTTTTTCAGACCCTTTTCTTAAATGAATAAATGAATAAGGTGAACATAATAACTTAACATTTAAAAGAAAAAAGTAATGGATTTATTACGAAAACAGCTGTCTAGGGAATTTTCAGTTAAAATCTATGCTATATTTATAGGTTATTTCTATACCTTATATTTCACAAATAAAGGTGATCTGCTAGAATCCAGCCGTGCACCTCCGATTTTTAATGATTTTTGTAAAAACAACACATTTTCAGGCTATGGGCTATCTAAAAATGCAATCAAAACTTTTCAAAAACATTACTTTTTGTAAATATACTGGGTGGTTTGCTAGCTTCGAGGCTTTGTTATAGAAGCAAAATATATAAGAAATATTTAAAAGTGGCATAAATAATGCAAAATAGAAACTATGCAATGCTAGATTGTCAACGTGGTGGAGGAGTTTTAATTGTCGTATCCAATAATATTAATGCATCAGTTCTGTCAACTCCAACCAACGACCTATATGATGATATCATCTTAGGGTGCGTTTATTTTCCTCCAAACTCAACCTTTGAAAGTTAAGATCTTTTCTGTAGTACTTGTGAATCTTTAAGTAACAAATATGACAACTGAAAATTAATTATATATGGCGATTACAACCTACCGCAAATTATTTGGTCCTCTGATGAGGATACCGCCTCCGTATTCCCTGTCAGAACCCCCTCTGCTAATGCCGAAACTCTTATTATGTCTATGTATTTTCTTGAACTTGAACAAATACATTCCATTAGAAACAATCTTGGTCATATTCTCGATTTGATCTTCGTATCTGACTTCGATCACCTCCGACTTCGATCACCTCCTCGATTCACCTAGCAAAAGTCCATTGCTTAATGTTGACAAATTTCACCCTCCTGTCGAGTTGCCCATTGATCTTTCAAAATATGTTCCATTAAAATCCAATTCTGGCAATAGTACTGTGTATATATTCAAAGACGCTGATTTAAAAAAACTTAATAACCAAGTGGACTGGACGTCAGTCAGTACCGAACATCGAAGACAAGGTTGAAAAATTTTATGACATTTTGTTTCAAGGCATCAATCAATTTGTCCCAAAAAAGAGTATAAAAAACATTAAATATCCAAAATGGTTTGACAGTGAACTTCGAAAATGTATTGCCTCCAAAAATAGACTATATAAAAATTATAAGCACTCTGGTCTGAGTAGTGACTACCAGTTATATTCTAATGCACGGCGCGAAGTAAAGTACCGCACTGATTTATGTTATCTTACCTTTGCTTCTAACATGGAACACCTTATTTCTATTAATATCAAGCACTTCTGGTAATATATAAGTACTCTGCATAAAGACTCATCAAACATTCCAAAACAAATGAAATCTAATGGCAAATTAATTTATGACCCTGAAGAAATAGTTGAGGCATTTGCCTCTCATTTTCAGTTCTGTTACATTAAACACAATGTTGTTACCTCTTCTAACCTCATTACTGATTTCTCTAGTAATCTTTCCTCTCGCGTTTTCACTGAAGAAGATATCACCACTCACTTGCTTCAGTTAGATGTTTCTAAAGGCCCTGATCCGGATGGAATTCCTCCCATTTTCTTAAAAAATTGGCAATCCTCACTTTCTACTCCTCTATCAATTATTCCAAAAATGTTTTGATGAAGGTTTCTTTCTCCAATGTTGGAAATATTCTAATTTAGTGCCAATATTTAAATCCGGCGACAAATCTAATGTTTTAAACTATCGAGAAATCTCGATTATATCCAACATTCCTAAAGTCATGGAGGCTATAATAACATATGAGATATTTATGTTTTTTCTGCGTTACATTGCACCACAACAGTATGGCTTTTTCAAAGGGCAATCTGCAACTACTAATCGTGCTG